AAACTGTCTCCAAGGCAGCCGCCCTCCCCCAGCCCGTGCCCCAGCAGGACACGTGAGGCAGGGAGGTCAGGAGCTCTGCTGTGAGGGCACCACCGGCTTCCGGTTTGTGCATGAAAACCCGGCTCAGCTTTTCCACTCCGTGAAGACTGGGCTTCTCCAGGCTGCTCGGTAAATAATCACGGATTCCACCGGCAAGAGGAAACGTCCCCACACCCCTTCTCCATGGTGCACCCAACCTCCAGGTGTTTTCAATCTCAAAGAGCCCTGACTCCTGAAATTTAACAACTAAAATCTTAGTTTTCATTTCCTGAGACTCTCCTGGTGGAATCGGCAGCCTGGCAGTGTGCAGCACCTAGGGCGGCTCACGATGAAAACTCCAGAGGGGACTCTGCCTGCCTGCATGTCCCTTTGTCACCAGAACCTGGGGACCAGCAGGACCCAAAGCTCCCTGCGGGATCAGCTGGGTCTGGGAATCACTGCCCTGGGCCCAGGTGGACTTTTCGGATGAGGCTGGTGTTTGGCCAGCACCTGGGCTGGGCAGGTGGGAAGGACAGAGGTGCTGAGGGAGAGAGGGAGGGGAAAGGGATTCACAGCGGTCCTGGGGGAGCCCCACAGGTGCCTTTGGCCTCTGGCTGCTCTGCCTGCCCCTCAAGCTGGTTAAATTCCGCCTGAAAGTTCCCCATTGGGCAAGTTCCAGCAAGCCTGGGCCAGGTCCGTGACCTCAAGGTGGGTGGAGCTCTAGAAGGCCTGGCCCTCACTCCTAGAGTCCACATTCACCCTCAAGGCACTGAACGGCGCCCCACTGTGCATCTACTCACTAACCAGGCACGCGATGGTTTCCATGGTTCCTGTGTCTTAGACCAGCTCTCTCACGGTGACATGAGATGCCCTGAGACCCCGCCATGGTGCGGAGTGACATTAATGCATTAAATTAGCAGCCTCTGCAACACAAACACATTTCCTTGTGGAGGCTGTGACGTTCTTTGGTAAAAGGAATCATTACATGTTTGCAAACATTCCATGCAGCTGAGGAAGGGCCTCAGGTTCTGACAAGTGATAAATGGGAAAATTAGAGGCTTCGGGAAAATGTAAATATCATCCTTGTAAGTCTGTCCCTTGGCAGGAAATAAAAAAAGGTTTCCCCAAAGCACCAAGGCATTCCTTCTATTAAGCGCCAGGAAGAATGGCCGTGACTCTTTCAGGCACTTGCACGGGTCTTGATTTGTCTTCCATAGTCTCCCCAGTGCCCTGGCAACGTGTGGGAGAGAAGCCTGTGATTTCAGTGGACTGTCCTCTAGTTCAGCGTTTCTCACCTTTAATTCCTGATCACCCCCTAAGGAACCTTTATAGAGGTTTTTTTTCTTACTCATCCCCGCCATGAATTTAATACTACAGAAATACTGCAAAATGGTTTATGCACTGTGCGTACATCTGTATTTTTACATAATGAGAGAAAAATCTTTTCACCTCCGGGAACCAGCTCTGGCCCCCTTGGGAGCAGTATTCCCCACGGAGGATGCATGTTCTCATTCCTTCTTTTGTTCATTTGTTCAAATGTGCAGAAAACGTGTGCATCTGGTGCAAACTCTGGGACCTGGAAGGAGGTGTGGGAGCTGCCTGGGGCCTGGGGGCAGAGCGATGCAGGAGAGGGGACAGCGAGGACGGAGTCCAGAGATGCGAGGGGAGGGATGAGGCTGAGAAGCAGCCAGGAGCCCTGTGTGGCTGGGGCCAGGGGGTGTTAGAAGATGAGGCCAGAGGGGTGATGGGTCACAGTGGGGCAGAGAGAGATACGGGTCATCTCAGGCCTTAGGTGACCCTGTGAAGACTTCAGCTTTTACCCTAAGGGAAGTGGGAGCCATTGGAGGGCTCGAGGGGAGACAGGACGTGGTCTGGCTTACTTTGTAATGGGATTCTCTGTCTGAGGACAGGTTGGGGATGTGGGGCAACAGCTGGAGCAGCAAGACCAACAGGGAGGCCAGGTGGAGGTGATGGTGACCGGAGCCATGCCGTCAAAGTGGAGGAGGTGAGGGAGTCCAATACTGCAGATCTCTTGCCGGTAGAGCTGCCAGGACTTGCTGGTGGATGAGAAGCGGAGTGTGGAAGGCAGGGAAGAGTGGAGAATGACTCCCAGGTGTTGGCCTGAGAGCTGGGAGGGCAGAGCCGCCATTTACAGAGATGGGGAAGACTGCGGGAGGACTCTGCTCTGACAAGGCCCTCTGCTGACTCTGAGAGACACAGGAGAGCAGGACAGAGCGGATGAGGGTGACTCTTAGTAGATTTATTACATTCTCCCTGAAGATCCAAGTACATAATTTTCAGAGCCTGTGCAAAATGAAAATATAGGCCACATGCTCAAAAGCAGGAACAAAATGTCATTATAGGTGCTAAAATAAGAAAGCTTTTGCTTTCTTTCTGCAGTCTCTCTCTTGACCTGTCGTGGTGTTTGTTATTTGCTACTCAATGTTGCATTCCCTCGGATATGAGGATGTTCGTAGAGTAGCTCAGACCCCCACAGTCAGGCCCTTTCAGGGGCAGAAGGTGAAAGCGGTCGCCAGCAGGGTTATTCTCCTGAGCAGCATCTCCAGGGTGGCACCTTCTCAGTAGCCTTTTCCGAAGGAATGAGTTAGGATGACAGTTGTCACAACTTCAATGAAAAGCAGCCGATGCAGTGGGAGATGGGGGAATAAACCATCGGTGTTGGGAACATGAGACACCTGGGGAAGATCAAGGGCTAGCAGATCCTTTATATGGGCTCAGCCTTTCTACAACCTGCAGCAAGGCTCAGCCCCCACCATGGCCCCACCCCTACCGTGGCCCCACCTTCATTCTGGCCACACCCCCATCCTGGCCACACCCCTGCATGACCCTGCCCCCCGCCTTGCTTTGGCCCTGCCCCTAACAAAACCGTGTCCCTCTCCCCGCTCCCCGAAATCTGGTCACACCTCCAGGCTGTCAGGCATCACTGTGGCTAGGGTAGACCCTGACAGCTTTCAGGAGTCAATCTCCTCTTTCTGTGCAGATGAAACCTGCCCAGGCAGGAATTCTTGCATTTCTGCCCCAGCCCAGCCGCCTCCTTTCTTAACACCCTGGAGGCCTCCTCGTAGTGTATTTGGGACAGGTGGGCTCCGAATCACTCAACAGATACCTACTGAGATCTGCTCTGTGCCCAAGCTCCAGGTCTTGGCCCCAGCGGTGAAGGAAGCGGGCAAAGCCCCCTCCCTTTGAGGTGACGTCTCCAGGGCTGGTCACAGGGACTCCAGGGCCACGAGCACATGGGTGACCACTCTGCGGATTATCCCACCCCAGTTGTAAGCTCCTGGGGCAGCTCCCGGCTTTCTGGGTGGTTTCTGCCCCTGTGGGGTGATTTACAACCCAAGTCCAGAGAGCGAGAGGTTGATGGGGGGCCTGGCCCGTCCCTGTGTCAGGGAGGCAGGAACTGCTTAGAGCTCCGTGCACATGGGACCAGTGGCTCCGACAAAGCCTTGGCCAAACTCTGTTTCCTGATCCTTTTCCTCACCCGGTTGCCTCCTTCCTGCAGCATCTGCAGACGCTCAGCCCCAGGAGACGCGAGCTGCTCGGGGACCACCCTGAGTTTCTGAGAGTCCTGGAGGCGATGGCACCAGGGTCCTGTGTGGATGGCTCTGGGGAGCCTCGAAGGCTTGGACTCGGGCTGAGCGCGGAGATGGGTGTGGGGGATGCTCAGTCCTGACCCCACCACCGCGGCCCGGGGAACGTTAGACAGGGGCTGTGTCCCCTCAGAAAGAGACAGCAGGTTCGGCCATGTGCACACGCCGAGAAGAGATGGTCCAGCCGCCACCAAGTGGAACCTTGAGCCTGGAGGGACAGCCCTGCCCCTTCCACTCAGCCTGGCCAGTCCTGTCTGCGGGTTTCCATTGTCAGCCGTGAAGGGGCATTGAGACTCACAGGTGGGGTTAAGCGGAGTGAGGAAGGGCTTGTTAAGCTGGTTAATTCTGGACGCCCCGGGAATCTGAAGATGGAATTGTGAAACATTCATGGATTTGCCCCAGTATTCCAGCCAAGCACACGTGTGTGTGGTTGTGTGTGTGTGTGTGTGGGGCGGGGGTATGAGTGGATGTGTGTGTTGGTACTGGTGTTGATGGTATATAGTTCGCTGACGTGGGACTCTTGCCTCCCAACCTGATTTAACAGAGGTTGAGCCCACATGGCCTAGTGGTTAAGAACATAGTCTCTGGAGCTAAACTGCCCAGGCTCAAGTCCCTGCTCTGCCCCCTGAGCAAGTGCCTTGACCACTCTGCCTCAGCTTCCCCATTTTAGCATGGGGAGCTTAGTAATAGTGCCTCATCTCATGGGGTTGGTGTGAGGACTAAGTGGGATCATAGATACAGGGCACGGGAATAGTGCCCGGTGTGTGCCAGCTCCCACCACTCTGCAAAGAGGACACGTCCTGCCTCCCCGAAGCCAAGTCACACCCAACAGCTCCTGCATGGACGTGGGTAGAAAGAATCTGCTATTCCCCCAGGGATCTCCATACACCTGAGGTCAGCCTGGCCTTCAGGGTTCATTCTCAGGATGAACTCAACTCCATTCATACCTAAAGGAATTCGAGCACTGACTGGGGATCTGCTGAGTCTTCACTGATGAGCACTCCAGAGGAGGCGATCTCAGGTCAAATGTCCCTTTCTGAGAATTTAGGGCAGGGTAGACTGGGGATGGTAACTGGGGACTTGAGCTTATCTTTAATGTCTTTGGTTTTCTTACAGGGAAATACATTTATATATTACTTGTGTCGTGAAAATTAATTTTAATTTAAAAATCAATTTCATGCAATATAGATTTCGCCATAAAGTAACAGAATTTTTAATTTTTTGATTGAGATATTTGACAGTAGGCACTGCATCATCCTGAAAGAACCAACTTTACAGTAAACAAATTTTGGCACCTTCATAACAAGATCAGAAATAGCTGCAGTGCCTGCCCCTCCTGCTAACAGTTATGCAGGGCTTTGCTCGTACAAAAGCTTTGCCTCTGGTGACCTGTTTCCATCCTTGTGACAATGTGGCAAGGTTGGAAGAAGAGGATTATGATTGTTTCTCTTTTGCCAAAGAAGATGCAGTGACTTTCTCCCTGCACTGGGCCCCTGTTGGAAGATTACAGCAACAATTCACCAGGCCCTTCTTCACCCGACCCCAAATCTCGCAGCCCAGTAGCCCGTAGCCCCGACCCTGCCCCCAGCCCCAGCAGTGGGCTGTGATTGGCCTGATGCAGTCAGCTCTTCCCACTCTCTGACCTTGACTGATTCAAGAATGGGCACCTGGCCCAGGTGGGCCAGTGAAAGGTAAGACGTTGCCTGGGCTCCTGGCTTTCCCATGGTTTCCTCTGGACAAAGTGGATGGGATGCAGCTCTTAGAACCACTGCAGACTTCTCTGCTCCCACAAGAAAAGGCAGTCCGAAATCATGACCCATGAGAGAGGAAAGAACCAAGAGAACGTCAGGGAAACTGAACCACAACCTGATCCAATCATTCCTGATGCTGTTTATCTCTGGGATTTTTGAAGGCTTGAGCCCACGAATCTCCCTCCTGCTCACCTCTGTTTGCACTGAGTTTTCCATTCCCTGCCGCCATAGCTCTCTATTTGATTCTGACTCTCGTGTCACATGATGGTAAGGGGTAGATTATTAAACCGAGGCCTGCCCTGGCTGGCTGTTTGTGTGCAATACACACCTTCTCACAGCCAACCTGGTTCTTTACTTCTAAACTTCAGTCACACAAAAGATCCTAGAGGTCACCTCGTGAAGCCCATTAGTGTAACCCCTGAGCAAAGCGAGGCCTGGGAAGAAGTCGTGAGCCCAGATCACAGGGCTGGACTTTCTACCCCTGATTGCTCCTGTTTTTAGGTTAACGTGATCTAAGAGACCACCTGTGACAAGACAACCTGAGCTTCGTCTGTCAATGCAAAGTCTGTGTCTGCACAGCCAAAATGAAGCAAAGTCTGTGTCTGCACAGCCAAAATGAAGTGGCAAATATCAGCCATTGCAGACCACTCAGTGAGAAAACCTCCTCTGTTCCAAATATCTGGATGCAGTCCCGACTGTAAATTGGAGAGTGACTTTACTATTTTGACTATCTGGTATTTTTGCTTTTCTCTGCTAAATTTGATGACTTTTTAAAAATTATTTTTATTCGATCATATCACTTGGGTACAGATCTGCAGTGTTTTTCTAAGCACATATTTCCATACCAACAAAAAATCTTACAAAGGAGCAGAAATGGAGAATGGATTAACTTACTTTTATTCTATCCTGACTCTCTATAGACTCTCTCATGAGGTTGGGGGTTTTGTTTTTCTTCTCTTCTAATTTCTATTACGATAAGGACACATGGACTGACATGCAGTCCCCAGGCTACCTGAAGCATGGCTGTGAGAGATGCATCCCAAACTGGGATTTCTCTGTGCATGGCCACGTTCAAGGGTGCAAAAGGCAGGAGCCACTCAGACAGCATAGCTTGGGAGGGCTTTGTGTCACTGTCCAGGTGAGATTTCTCTCTCTGAGTCTCACCTGGTTGAAAATGTTCATCACGGTAACAGCAGACCCTTCAAGTCTGTGTCACTCTTACAGCAAAGATAAGATGCTGTGTTGAATTTTCATGGCAAAAACAACTGCAATTTTAGGTCACTGTAAAACATCTTTTGTTTTGTGCTGAGCCATGGAGAGTGACAACTTACGCAATAAACGCTCAGCATCTGCCGTCCTTCCAAAGCCTCTTTCTTTTTTTTTTTTTTTTTTGAGACGGAGTCTCGCTCTGTCGCCCAGGCTGGAGTGCAGTGGCGTGATCTCAGCTCACTGCAACCTCCGCCTCCTGGGTTCACGCCATTCTCCTGCCTCAGCCTCCCGAGTAGCTGGGACTACAGGCGCCCGCCACCACGCCTGGCTAATTTTTTGTATTTTCAGTAGAGATGGGGTTTCACCGTGTTAGCCAGGATGGTCTCGATCTCCTGACCTCGTGATCCACCTGCCTCGGCCTCCCAAAGTGCTGGGATTACAGGCGTGAGCCACCGCTCCCGGCCCCCCAAAGCCTCTTTCACATTCACTTACTTCCCTCAATCCATTTAGAACAGTGTCATACAAAAGTGATTTTCAGGTTGGGCATGGTGATTCACACCTGTAATCCCAGCACTTTGGAAGGCCGAATCAGGTGGATCACTTGAGGTCAGGAGTTCAAGACCAGCTTGCCCAACATGGTGAAACCCCATCTCTACAAAAATACACAAATTAGCCCGGTGTGTTAGTGGGCACCTGTAATCCCAGTTACTTGGGAGGCTGAGGTGGGAGAATCGCTTCAACCCAGGAGGTGGAGGTTGCAGTGAGCTGAGATCATACCACTGCTACACTGCACTCCAGGCTGGGTGACAGAGCAAGACTCCGCCTCAAAAAAAAAAAAAAAAAGTGATTGTCATCGTCCCCCTCAGAGATTATTGGAGGGTACAACATCTTATTAATTTTTTACAATTTTATAATCAATTTTTAATTAATGAGACGATGAAAAACCGACTTTATGGAAAAAGAAAAATCACTCATGTAGTTGCAGCTACAGCCAATGTGTTTGAGACTGGGAGCTTTGGAATTGGGTATCTGTGTTCAAATCCTGACTCCACCATGTCCCTGCCATGTGACTCCGGGGACAGCACTCACCTGAAGACATCACTCATATGACAGTGTCACTTACCTGAGAGGCCACTATCTGGGGAGGTCACTGACCTTCTCTGAACCAGTTTTACTCAGTTTTAAGGATTATTATGAAGGTTCAAAGTCAAAATATATTATTAAGGTCTTGCTTCTTTCAGTGTGGTCTGCAAACCAGCAGCCTAGTCATCACGTAGAAGCTTGTTAAAAAATACAGAATTTCAGGGCCCACCCAGGTCCTACTGAATAGGAATCTCAATTTTAACAAGCCCCCCAGGTGGTCTGTGAGCACATTAATGTGTGAGAAGCACTGTCTTCAAGCACGTGTATGCCGTTAGGTGCACAGCAGGGCCTCAACTTAGCTGCCTGATTGGTGTACATCTTATCACATTATACTGTTTCTTACTTAACAAAATGCATTTCATGCTGTTTTACAGTTTTCACTTCAGTTCATACTACTTCCTGGTCTACATGGAGTTATTTTGAATGTCTGCGTAATAGTCTACTGAATCATTATCTCACGCTTTCTTCTCCTATTTCCGCATCTTGATGGTTCCCAGCATTTTGCTGTTAGAAAATAGCACTTTACTGAGGCAGGAGATGCTCTTGAACCAGGGAAGGAGAGGTTGCAGTGAACCAAGATTGCACCATTGCACTCTAGCCTGGGCAACAAGAGTGAAACTCCATCTCAAAAAAAAAAGAAAGAAAAAGAAAATAGTACCTTAGTGAGCATCCTTTTATGTAGAGCTTTCCAGAGACAGGGAAGGAGGAGGGACAGGAAAAGAGAAAAAAGAAAAAACAAGAAAAGAAAAGCTTATATCTGTGTCTTTAAAGTCAGGAGTGTTGAACGTCCTCTTTGATCCCATTGTAAACTAAGGGAGAAAACCATGTCCCTGGCTGCATCCACTGGGCAGTGAAGGGGGCACAGAGACAATGCCCTCACTGAGTCACGGCACAGAGCTTCAGGGATGCAGGATGCGACCAGGGCAGAGGTATCAGCCACACCTCCATGGCACCCATGCCTCATAATCACCTTATGAAAAAATTATTTTGAAATTGGCTTACCTGCTCAGGAACTGAAACTGGAGAGAAACCCAGATTACGGGAGGACACTTGCATTGAAGGGCCTCCTCGTGAGCGGTCTCTGCACGTAGAAATCACCTTGCCGCTCAGGATTCAAAGCCCTGGCCTGGGACGTATTTCACAGGCTTGCAGGAGCAGACATTATGCATTAATGGGTGGCTCCATTGCAGGGAAACCTGGTGACAAGTGACTTCCTCGCCACACTTGGAACCGGAGCCCCGCCTAGCCTTTCCCATGGCCTGTCCAGAAAGTTAAAGGCAGGCAGTACTTGAGCTCTGGTCTTCCGTCCCCGCAGCCTTCACTGTCCCCCCACCGCAGGTGCCTCTGACCCTGAGTCACTTCTCCAGTAGCCCGTCATAGCACTTCTCCCTCTCCAGAGCCATGGCCTGTTTTACATGAGATAAAAATCTGCAGACAAAAGCTCTTGCTGCCCAGAGCATGCGTTCTAGAACTCAAATAAATAAATGAGCAAGAAACTGAGTGTGTGCAAGGGTAGCCATGCTGTGGGGGAAAGAAGGTGGAGGGAGGATAGTAAGGGGATCCCAGGCTCAGGGAGTAAGAGGGGTCAAGGGGATCAGGAAGAGTTGGGGGGGTCTTCATGCCTCAGAGCTGGGGGAGATTGGAGTGGGGATGAGGGAGGACTTGGGTCCTGGGCTTCTTGGCTGCTGACATGACCAGGGATAGAAGGGAGATAAAAACAGTCTGCCAGGTTCCAGGTAGGCGATGGCAGAGCCACGGCTGTGAGCAGACAAGGGAGCTGGGTTTTGCAGGAGCCCAGAGCTCTGGGCATCTCTTCCATCCCACCTCTGGGGCTGAGCCTGGAGGAGCCTGGGGGTTCCATGTTGTTGCTGTGGAATTTCAGGAACCACAGGAGCTGCCCAGGGGCCAAAGCGTCTCCTATGACCTCCCCCTACCCAGCAGAGGGAGCACCTGGGACCCTCCTCTTTTGGAACACTCCTTCCAGAGGCAGCTGCAGGTGGATTCTCATCTGACAAGAGACAGCATCACTCAGAACTCCTAGAAAGGCCATTGATTAAATGCCACAGAGGACAGCAGTGATGAGGTCTGCGGAAGGCAGTGCACAGCCAGAGGCAGGGCCAGGTGATGGATGGCCCCTGCTGTCAGAAATGCCCCAGGCCCCACTGCTCCCTGCCCTTGGGCAGGTCACTCCGGAGTTTAAGAGTCATTAAGAGAAGCAGTTCCTTTTTATAACCAGTTCTCTTTTCTCTCTCAGGTGGTTCTGGAATAAAAACATCATGAAAGCGATGTCAGGTCACCAGGAAGAAGCCGCCGCAGGTGAATCTGGCTTCAGAGATGGGGACTCCTGAAGTGAAGCTGGAAGTGAAGGCTGCCTTTAGCTGGCTTGAAATGCAGGAGAGGAAAATACTGCACAGGCTGGTCTCCCTGTGCCTGGGGATGGAGAGGTCTCCTTCCCATCCAGGGCTACTCAGAGCCCTCATCAGGGTCCCTCAGTGACTCCATCAGGCCTGAGAACATCCTCTGGGATAGAGAGAGGAGAAAAAAACAGAGATTCATCCAAAGCTCTTTGGAATTTAATAATAAAGGAGATAATAAACAGGCAAGGGGGCCAGGCACGGTGGCTCATGCCTGTAATCCCAGCACTTTGGGAGGCCGAGGCAGGAGGATCACTTGAGGCCAGGAGTTTGAGACCAGTCTGGGCAACATGGTGAAACCCCATCTCTACTAAAAACACACAAATCAGCCAGGTGTGGTGACGCAGGCCTGTAATCCCAGCTACTTGGAAGTCTGAGCCATGAGAATCACTTGAACCCAGGAACTGGAGGTTGCAGTGAGCTGAGATCACACCACTGCACTCCAGCCTGGGCAACAGAGTGAG